TAGATATAGATATATAGATATAGATATATAGATATATATCATGTAAGTTGTTGATGTGCCTGTGAGGGTCACCCATGCATCATAAAAAGTCAAGGTAAATTGATCAATTGAATTTTAGAGCTATAAAACCAAAGTACTGCTATTATTGAATCACCCATCACTAGATCCATCCCAACAAAAGTGGCAACTATTTAGTAAATATTACTGAAGCTAAGAAGTGCATGTGACAAAAACATATTTATTCATTATTAACCATAAAGGTTAGTGAATCATGTTTAATTTATTTTTTGTCTTTTCTCATTTCTTAAAGTCAGACTTTTTAAGTCATACAGGCTGTATTATGCCACAGAGGTGTCAAGCTATGAAAGCCTTTTCATTGAATAATTTTCTGTAATTTTCATGCATATTTATGTCACTCCATTGATGGAGCACAAAACAATGCAAAAGAAAAATTTCAGGCCTCAACTCACCGTGTAAGTGATCACTGCCAACATGCCAATCAGGGTCAAGGAGCTGATGGAGAAAGACAGAGCTGGCAAACCATCTGAAAATGAGAAGGAAACCATTAGAAATTTGACCTTGACCTTGAGAAGAAACATCAATAGACTCTTTGCTACATGTGCAAAAAATACAAGAGCATATACTTTCTATTGTGCATTTTAATTTCATTTCAATAAAACTAGAAGATGTTTTTTCTGACCCTAAAATAAAGTTCAGTTTAGTTTATCATTCTGGAGAGTTCTACTGTAGTTTGTGAAAACGGATGTACATGGAGAAATAAAACCTTTAAGTGTGAGCATGCCATGGATTTAAAAATTCAAATTTACCCAGTAATCATGCTTAACAGGCTATTTGTAATACGATATGAGAATTTACCAAGAGTAAAACAAAATGTACTGCTTCAAATCAAGGATGTTTTTGCTGTGACTTTGCAGAAAGACAAGAGATTAAAAGTTGGGATTTCTTTTTAATCTGCTGCTTCACTGAACATTCTTTGTAGATTGTGTATTTTGCTGGTGTCTCAACATAATAGGTTAGCAGTTTGCAAGTGCTGTGTTACCATGGAGTAAATCATTTTCATGATAAACCTAATGGGTTCCTTCAAATGTCTCAACAATAACGGAGTTCAGCTAATCGCTAATAGGCTACACACCTGACACTTATAAACAGCTCATTAACAACAGCAAGACAGCATCGTTGTACGAGTTCTGGAAATTAATTTCTTGGAAAGGAATAAGAGAATATGTTAATTTTCTTTTAATTGAGAACACATTATGCTAGTAATTAGGCACTCAAATTCAATACTTCAAACAATAAAAGTATTCAAACAGTTCGGTCTTTCATTTTATGTGGGTTGAGTTGGATTGTGTAACCTTTGAGGCAGAAAGAGGACCACCTATGAGGGTAACAACAGTGGGTGTCACACCAGCTGCCACAGATAAAGGTAGAAGACAGGGATTGATGAGGAGACTGATTGCCTCACTCCCCTGTCAAGATCCCACCTGTCATAGCTTTCTAAATAAAAAAGCTACACATTTGTCCTCTTATAAATATCCCACATCCTCTCAACGGCAACTTTATAAAACCCAGACCACCTGTCAGCCTGGTCACAGGTGGGTCTCCCCTTGTCTTTCTCCTTGACAATGGCATTTCATCAGGAATATTAAGTCACCATTCAGGGCGTGTATAATTTGGGCTGTTTATATCATTATTAATCACTTCATTTAGAAATAGTTCACATGCTGCACGATAAAGATGTGGAAAATGGAGATAAAAAAATATGTGTGCAAAATGTCGAAAGACAACTTTGAAGTCTGACAGCCAGGTTAAACATTAACATTTGAATACCTGTTTCCTATTTCTGAGCTTTTAGTTGCGATTTTCCTGCCTTTGTTTAGAGGTGAGCTGGGTAAAACAGACAATAGCCTTATGTTCTGCATAGAGAACATTCTGTGCGTGGACTCTACACAAAGCGAAGGATAGATGTTTGCTGCCAGTCTTCTTCGTTTCCTGAGCAGATTTTCCGGGGATTAAACATTGGGAATATTGTACATTACCAGTGGTGTTTCCACATCTGCGCAACGTCAGTTCAAAAACCAATGGAATGAGGTAGCTCTTATCTCACTCTGCATATAGCCCTTCAGGCTTGTGTTCTTGTATGAGTCTTATGCAAAAAGGTGTTATTTGAGATGCTCCTTTGGCTTTGGCACCCTCCTTTAGTGGAATGACAGAATCATCGAAAGCAACCAGAGAACAGCTGCAGTTGAAACATCCAGAATATAACCTCTGTTTGCACAGAGTCTTACAAAGTTGAAAAAAATAAATGAGTAAATTATTTATTTGTAAGGCACAAAAGCATTTTCACATTGTAATAATGCAAATGGGGATGGGGGCGGGGGTGCATTTGGGTCACATTCAAATTAATGGGGTTTATCAGAGAGTACAAACTAAGTAAGATGGTTCTGGTTTGTAGAAGGTGTCATAAAAATGCWTTAGTCATACAATTACTGTGAGTAGCCAAACTAGTAATTTTAACTCTAACCTATTATATAATTTCTTCCCCTAATGTTGACAAAGGAAAAAAAGTAGGAAAAACAATTACAAATCTGCTCAAGTACTCTATGTATTAGCTAATGCTCTAACACTTCCCGCCACCAACCTCCCCAAGGCAAAAAGTGGGGGTTGTAATGTGTTTTGCAATTAAATTTCAACATGATCTTGAATAATAAAATTAGAAGCTTCAATATTGGTCTGCTCTGAGTTTGGGCAAAACTGTTTTAACAAGTTTAATGCTTAAATAAATGAATATGTAGTAGACTTAGTAGACTCAATTAACTGTTGTTGCAAAAAAAAAGTCAGGAGTGTTTTGTGGCAAAAGTGTCTTCCTCKCACAATTAACCTCCCATCTGGAGAGAGAAAAGACAGAGAATTAGAAAAGGGGATGATCCTCACATTTTCTCAGCGGCAGAGCAATTTCCCTTAGTGCCAAACGAGGAAGGTTAGGGAGAGTATTTAGGGGGCCACTGTTAAGCAGAGAGGCAGATGGTTCAACTTTCTTCTTGATCCACAAATGGCAAAAGGCCAAACAACTGCAAGGGGTCCACATTTGGCTATGTTCCTGCATTAGCATGAGCATAATTACTGACACTGTTTTACTAGATAAGTAAAGAAACCCAAAGAGGCTTTCTTTAAAGACATTCACTTTATCTAACTTTGACAAAAAAAAAAAGACAAATTCTCATAATTTCCTTCGCTAATTAGGATATTAAGTCACTGTTACAATTGAAAAGGATGTTTGATGTTTTGTGATTAATTAACAGAATTTTAGATACACACCTGTATTTTTGCCTTTTGATTGGTTGTAATAATTTACTTTCAACAGTAAGAGAATCAGCAAGACTATTTAATGTGCCTCATTCCAGCACAGTAAGCAGATAATGGTTTACATTTCAGACATTCCAGTGCTGATGTAAGAGGGACCACTCCAGAGGGTGTGACCAGGTTTTTATGAATATTATAAGAGCACGTGATTGGCAGCCATTTTGTTTAGACCTCCAAAGCCACAGACAGGCTTGGAGTGAAAAACAAACTGATGGAAAAGTAAACACATTTGTAAAAATACATACATTTAGTCATTTTAAATATAGTTCTCAGACTGGAAACAACAAAAATAGCTCCACTAGTTTCGTTGGATATTCAATCAAAGGTTCTTCTTTATGAAATAAAGAAAATAGCGTATTGAACATTCTTGATTTCTATTTTTACTATTTTGCAATGAAATTTTAAAACTTACTATGACTGAATAAAACTTTGCTTTTGCTAAAACAGAGTGCTTGGGATGGACATTTTATCACAAATGATACAAACGCAATGAAGACAGGGGTCATAACTCTAGTCAACTTGAAAACATAGAAATATGAAGCATCTCATTTCAATAGCAAGTTTAGGTAAAACAATAAAACAAAGTGTACATAAAAGTAAAGACAAAACATGTAATTTCTTTAAAAAGTAATTCAATGTTTTCACAAACAGCAAAACAAGTACAGAAAGACAGAAGAAGAAACAAGTGCATGTTACAATAAAATTCTTGAAGTTTAGTGAGACAGGGTTRGTCTTACAGTATGTTAGTCGCTAAATGCAACGTTTAATCCATTGGCTATTACTCATTCCATTTTTAGAAGGCCAACAAGATGTATTGTGGTTAGTCATAATGTAGTAATGGGCTTCTGGAATGATTTCACTTTAAATAATTAAAAACCGCAGGCAGTAATATGTCTTTTTATTCTTCACATTCATGACTGATATGTCATCTTATTAGCATACTGCGCTGTATTTTAAACACTTAGTATGATAGCACACTTTGTTGTGTTTTTTAATACAGTTATGCCTTCTTCATACATCATACCACACGTTGAAAAATTCGTATAAAATTGAAAATAACTAAAGTTAAAATAAAATATTGTTAAAAATAAAAATGTTAAAATTTGAAAGCTATAAATAAATATATAAAACAAGGTTTATAATATTATGGCATCCGACATGTTACATCTGATAATTGTTTAAGTAAAAAATTTTGAAAAAGCCTTAAATAGGCCTTTTATCAGCATTTTGACCTTTTTAGTTTAAAAAGGTCCAGTATTGTGCATTTCTCAGGCATATAGTTCAATTCTATACCAAAATAAATGAACTGTCACCTTCAGTTGTTATGAAAATGCTGTWAGTATAAATCAAAAATTAATTTGACTTTGCATCCCAGCCGTTTCTAAACGCCTTGAAATTGGCCTCTGTCTCTTTAAGAACCTCCTACCAATTCTATCACGCCCATTTCTGCACGTCATCACAACAGCTTCATGCCGTTAACAACCGGTCTTAGGAGTGCTGTATTTTGTTGTAATAATAATAAAAACATCAGCAACATTACACAGCATCGGTAAGTAAGATTTCTGAAGAACCAGAGCGAGTAGAGAGACAACGTTTCAGCTTGGTAAAATATCTCCCAGTCATTCTTACACACAKGCACGTCAATGTTAGGCTAAATTTTTCTTACTAAAATGTGTTGTAAGCCAACTAAAGAACACAGATTGTAATATAAGTTACGGGTGATAACTGTGGATCACAGATAGACCAAACAACCGAACAAAACAACGCTAATTGTCTTTCAGCTTACCTGGGTGGTGTTTGTGTCCTTCTGAGTGTTGGAATTGCATCAATTTTTAGTGATAATCTTATTATTAGTCCACTTTTAAATTCCCTTTTGTTCAGAAAGCTATCATCCGTAAAGTGCCTCGCACAAATATATATATWTTTTTTTTCGTCGGAGGGTWACTTCCAAAATTGAAGTCCAACCATTTTCTAAGAACCATGTCATCCATAGGAAGCTTAAAAAGAGGGTAGTCTCCTTCGCATCTGAAAATATATTTCCTCAAAGGCATATTTTTACCCAAAAAAGGACTGGACTAAGAAGTTTTATGAGCTCAGCAGACACGGTTTCACCAGTTGTTTGCTAGTTGTTGCTGCTGATCGCCTGCAGGAGTGGCAGGGGAGGCGTGCTCTGTGATGAGGAAGCTCGTTTTGGAGACACAAAGGAGGAGCTGCACCTAAAAGGCAGTTCAACCAGCCATTTTTGTTCTCCTGATTGAATGTTACCGGACATAACACGATTTCTTAAACATGCATGAATGAGTCAAAGCAATCTTCTGGGTATGTTTTTGATGAGGAAATGATGTTATATAACATGATATAAAGCTCAAAAAGGTTGATTTTAAACAATATTGGCCTTTTTAAGTAGGAAACAAAAAGGAAAAAGAAAAAAAAAGATAATTTTGGACTTTGACAAATAAAATTGAACAATCAAGATGATTCTAAAAGTAATGACAAGTGATTTTATTATTGAAGAGTCACAAAGGGGGAAAAAGTTAACTTGTGATAAGAAAACTAGTAAAAATCTAAAGTAGGTCACAAAAGCAGCTGTACTTACGTTTACTGCCAAGCTCCTCAAAAAGGTACTGCACCTTTTCCCACTGAGTGGAATTCTGATTAGATGGGGCCTGAATAGGAATAAATGCTCTAAAAAAAGGGGAAAAATGAATAAATAAGTAGAAATAAGTAGACAACATTTATCTGGTTCCTTTCAGATCAGCCTTCATTAGTACCCAAAATGCTTATTTTGAGTCTATAAATTATGACTTAAACAATTAGTGTATTCACTCTATAAGTCACGAAAATACTTATAAAAAAGTGTTTATTTTGTTAGTCCACCACTAACGAGAAAAATGCTTTTTTTAAAATTCTAAAAATACTGTAGTTCCGTCATTTCCATCCTCCTCCGCTGTCTTTACAAAGCTACATTTGGGCAGAAAATTGCTAATATAATTTGTTAGATTGGGATCTCCTGGTATCAGAAAAATAAGACCAGAATTTAAAAAAAAAATAGATTTTTTTAAAATAAATCACTGTTGAAATTTAAAGGATCACAGCAACAAGTGATGTGGCTGGAGTTACAGTTCAAGAGGTAAAAGAGCATATATAGTGGTTCTGTCTATAAAAACGTCCTCTAAACTTTATGGTGGAAGACATTACAGTCATGTGTTTCTTATTTTTCAAACCAGATAAGCTTTCTTTCAGAGCCCCATTTAATGGTTGAGAGAGCACATTCAGTCGTTCAGGCTGGACTCCAGGTATGTTGCTATCGCTGCTGCAAAGGAAATCTATTATAGCTGCCTGGTGCTACTAAACACAAGCAGTGTAAAATCTGCAGATAAATAAAATATGACTAAAAARGTGCATCAGTACAAGCTGTTTTTGTTGATTCAATATACATGTGCTTTGTGTACAGGAATCTGCTAAACTGAGTTTAGACTCAAATAACCAAATAGGAACTTCTATTTAGACAGAGGCATACAATTATTTTATTCTTTTAATGGTTTTATGCAAAAAGTCGAATGATATGTGTCTTTTTCATTATCAACACATTATATCCACATCCCGTCACCTGCTGTGTAGTGAAGCAGAAACAGTCATCGGTGTGTCCAACTCACCCAATTAAAAGGAGCACCACGCAGACAATGACGAATCCAACTGTGTACTTCAGAGCGTTTTTCACTTGCTATAAGAAAGGGAAATTTGAAAACTGGTCAATTATGGCCATAAGTGAAATATTATTATTCATTTTGAGCAAGTTAAAGGTTCATACTCCATTTAGATAAGGGCTAAAGTAACTGAGCGCAACACTGAATAAGTGTCGATCCAGGCTGACTTTGCAGAGATAACGTGTCACATTCAAGCGCCTTTTAAAGCAACAATACAAAAGACCCCACTATCTGTAAGAGAAAGTGCCTCTGTCAGCTCAAAACCGGCACATGGCAAGGAGAAAGGCACACTGCTATGACTCACTAATTACTCAGTCGTATCGTCACTCACGGGGACTTTTAAAGAGAAAAAAAATTAACATTTTGTCATAACAGAAGAATTATAATAGGGAGCCTTCAGTTCACAGTAAGAATGCAGTGGTACAAAGGCAGGACTAAACGACTACACACATTACCAAACACTTTACAATACAGTAACTAATAATTTGTTTGAATCCACTTGCCTTACAAAAAACAAGCTTACCAATAGTGGGTGTATTGTCAGCATACAAGCTGTTAAAAAATCTTTACTGTTTTCGTAACATATAAGACATTCACAAACTCTCACAATGCACTAGTCTTTTTTTTCCATCTTCTGTCTGTGTACTTTGCATTCCGTACTAGGAATGCACAATAAATCGAAAATTTATCGTTGCTATAATAGCCTGTGCAATAAGCACATCGCAAAAAACTGCGTAAACTGCAATAAATGGTTGGCTTAAAAGATTGCATTTACAGCGGGTAAAATAAGTATTGAACACGTCACCATTTTTCTCAGTAAATATATTACTAGAGGTGCTAATGACATGAAATTTTCACCAGATGTTGGTAACAACCCAAGTGATCCATACATACAAAGAAATCAAACCATAAATGTCCAGAAATGAAGTTATGTTATTCTGTACCAAAGTTATTGACAAAAAGTAATCTTACAATGCTATCATAAAAATAACATACTCAAAACAATAAAAAAATCATGTTGTACTTCCTTAAAAAGTGAAAATAAAATCTGTATCAAAATGAACAAATTGTGAAACTGAAATTTCTAAGAAACAGGATATTTAAGAATCTAATAAACAAAGCAGAAGTTTAAGCTCTCTGTCGTGTCAAAATGGCAAATAAACATTTTGCCTGAAACTTTCTGGAAAGTTTTATTTGAATCACTTCAGGATGTTTCTGCAAATACACGTCAATCATATAGCTGCAGAATGTGAATAAAATGTGGGCTTCTCAGCACCACATCTAAGTCAGCTGGGTGTAGCAGAAAGAGGGAAAATAGTGTTTTTACCAAGCACTTGTTTGTGTTGTCGTCATCTTTTTCTTCATAGTAGAAATAAACAAAGGGGATCCATAGGAAGACGCAGAACAGTATGATGGAGTAAAGAGCTTAATGGAGACAAAATTTAAAGAATTAGTTAAAATATGTTACAAATAAAAAAATCCTCTTAATTCTGATTAAAACAATGCAAGTATAAGACTGCTTACAACTAATATTGTTGTGTAATTGATATAAAATGTGTAACATATATCAGCTAGGATTTTACTACAGTCCCAAACAAAGTGAAGTAAAACACAAAATCCTTTTACAAATGTGATTATTTTTGCTTTAAGCATACACAACAAAGAAGATAATATAATCTCTTTGTCAGTGTTAAACATTGCAACTGAAAAAATATTAAACATGTGACTTAGAATAGAAAGTGTATATGACTGAAAGAAAGCCCCTTTTCAATGTGCTATTTTAAGCTAGGGGCACTTCTGTTTTTACAAAAGTGAACCAAATGGATGTTAGTGGAGACAGTCCAGACAARGACAAATATAACTCACAGGAAAGCATGTAACAAAGACAAGTCAACAACAAAATCATGAGAAAAGAAAGCCAAAAACACAGCAACAGAAAAAAAAAACATGGCAGTATACGAGACACTTTGAGGTTCAGTTGTTTTTTTTTTTTTAACATTCTTCTATGTTCACACAGAGCTTTCATTGTTTTCACCTATAACTGCAAAGGTCAGTTAACTCAAAGTCATAACATAACAGTTGAAACCATTAATTAGTCGTAAATCCAGGCCTCTGTTATAAAGTACACTCATGCTTTTAGTACTTTCTCAAAAAGACATTTTAAAGAGTTAATTATGTAACTTAAATAAAAAAAAGTCATCTACAGAAAATGAACCAAAAATGTAAGGTTTTCACTGCTGCTGCATCATGAATGCTGCTGTTTCAAAACCTTTGTTTATTGCCAGCTGTGACTGTGACAGGGTGATTTTAATATGTACATGCTCATTGCTACACCGATGTATCCATTTACACTCATTTACAGCCACACAAACGGAGTTTAGGATGCCACCAGTAGTCAATAAACCCAAGCAATTCAGAACATACAGCCAATGGCAAAATTCTGCCAGTTAAACCAGTGGGTAAAAATCAATCATACTAGCACCATAAATATCAACATTCAGAGAGAATAGGTCATTTTGTGTGACCATGAACCAGTCATTACTCTATACCCAGATCATCTATTAGGAAGAGCACTTGATCACAATGAAAGGATTGGCACATTTATTCCAGTGACAGAATGGGGATAAATAAATGTCCTTAATCTTTCATATAGCTCATGTTTATTTTGTTGCATGCACAAAAGGTTGTTGCAAAGTTATTCAGCGATTTGTATTTTTAATATTTTAGCATTTAAACAGAAATATCACTAATTTACTACCGCTGAAGCCATAATGAGTAATGCTGAGCCTTGACCTTACTGATGCTGTCTCTGCAGACATTTGCAAATAGGCTCTGGTGCTTTTGTTACACAATTATCTTTGGTCTTTTTCATACATCGGCTCTGAAGCTCAGCCTGACTTGTGCATTGGTGTCATGTCATCTATGACAGTGCAGAAGGGTTGAAGTTTGACCACCATTAGGATAATTCTGTCAGCCACAACCAGCAAACCACACAAAACAAAAATACCACTATCACATCTACTTTTGTTGTCTTGGCTATTTGTTTCTAAGCAAACACCAACATGCCAAAGAGGCACCACTATTTGGTTTGTGTGATGAACCAAAAGGTTACCAGAGGGGATCACCACCATCATCACAAGGAATGATGGCTTTTTTTAAGTCAACAAGGCTAAAAAACAAGGCAATTTTTTTGTTTGTGTGCTGATGATGTTTATGCAGACAACATTGAAAGTATAATTCCCTGAAAATTATCTGAAAGTGCCTCAATAAAAATGTAACTGATGTTTGATAATAGTCATTTTGGCATTGGTCTAGATATGTGAGAATATTTTGAAGAAAAAAATAGAGTAAAAAAAGGTATAGGCTGCACTTTTCACACACCAAGGCACTTAAAAAGTTTTCTTCAGTTTATGTGTTCGTTTATCCATGTTCTCTTAGTTAAGGTCTCCTCTCAATCTTCTAAAGCTGCCCTCGAAAATAAAATAGAAATCTGTCAGTTTTCAAAAATCCTTCTAAAAGCACCACAAGCCTACCACTTTCCAATAAATATCTATCTGCACATGCAAACACAGATTAAAGAAAAAATATGTTATTGTGGTGAGAAGGACTGCTTCTTTTCTTTAATCTGTATCTGCACATGCAAACACAGATTAAAGAAAAAATATGTTATTGTGGTGAGAAGGACTGCTTCTTTTCTAGCTTCTCTTTCACAAATGGCATTAAAAAAAAAAACCCAGAAGAAAGCCAATGATTTATTTAGAAAGCCCAGGAGTATTTTGCTCTGCTGCTCAAGGGTTTTATGCATCACTGCTTTGAAGTTCTGAAGAGTCCAAGGAAATGTACAAATGGACAAACCTTTCAATCACATCAAGATCTCAAAAATATGTTGTATAAAAGATGTGGATGTCCCTGATGAAGACCCCAATCCTCTTTATTACAAACTGTGAATAGAGGCTAGATTAAATATTGCTCTACTAGTCTAATAATGAATTAGAAAGTGGGACATTTTCTATTTATGCATTCATCTGAAGAGCGGTGGTTTATTATGTATATACCAAAGGCACTCAAGACTGTGCTCAAAATACCCAGTGACAGTCACACATTTTATAACATGTTCAATTGTTTCCATAAAAGAGACAGATTAAGCGATAAAAAAAATTGGACAAAAAAAAGACATTCATAAATGCCCAATTCAAACTTGAACTTTTGTTTGTTTGTTTGTTTGTTTGTTTGTTTGTTTGTTTGTTGGCTACTACTGATCTACAGGTTTATGTTCATGGTTTATGTCACACCAACAATAGTAATTAATATTTTGTTTGCATCTCTCATTTTAACCTAATATTGGTTTAAAATTTATTACCCAAAAATATTTCCAATGGTGAACAAGGTCAAAAAGTAAAAGTTTACAAGTAACAGCAAAGTCAATAAGTCTAAGAAGTTTAGAAAAATTGGGGTTGGTTGTCCAACTCAAGATTTCTGTTGGCTAACACTCCTATCCTCGTGAAAGCCTTTTAGCTATCCATCCGTCCATCTTTTTCTGCTTATCTGGGGTCAGGTCGCAGGGCCAGCAGCCTAAGCAGGCAGGCCTAGACCTCCCTCACCCCACTTGGGCCACTTGGGGGAATCCCTACCAGCCGGGGAACATAGGCCCTCCAGGGTCCTGCAGAGGAAACTCATTTCGGCGGCTTGTATCCAAGATCTTGTTCTTGCGGTCACTACCCACTACCCAGTCACTACTCGTGACCATAAATGACTAGGAATGTAGATCGACTGTGGTAAATCGAGGGCTTCGCCTTTTGGCTCAAGCTTCACCAGGACAGATCGATACAGTGCCCACATCACTGCAGATGCAACACCAATCCACTTATCGATCTCCTGCTCCATTCTTCTCTCATTTGTGAACAAGACCCTGAGATACTTAAACTCCTCCACTCGGGGTAAGAACTCTTCCCCACCTCAGAGGAGGCACTCTACCCTTTTCCGGCTCAAGACCATGGATTTGACACTGAACCTCAACCCAGCCACTTCACTCTCAGCTGCGAACCACTCAGATCACAATCTGATGATGTCAATAGCACCACACCATCCACAAAAAGCAGAGATGTGATCCTAAAGCCACAAAAATTGATCCACTTAACACCTTGGCTGCGCTTGGAAATTCTGTCCATAAAAGTTATGAATAGAATCGGTGACAAAGGACAACCTTGGTTGAGTCCAATTCTCACTGAAAACGAGTCTGATTTACATTCGTCAATGAGGACCAAGTTCTAACATTGGTTGTACAGGAACCTGTAGCTAAACCTGTTTAATACAATGGATGCCTACAATAACACAGTAGCATGCACAAGTGCATGCAAATAGAGAAGTGATCTGGGAAAAGGTTAAAATTTTATTTTTACTGTAAAATTATGTTTTTCTCTATAGACCAACATAAGTAGTATCCATTCCTTTATGAGAAAGGGAAGTCTCTTAAAATGTTAATTGGAACTCTAAAATGCATGTTTGTGTGTGTGTTGGACACATATTTGCTACATCATGGGAACCATTTTCCAGACAAACAGCTTTGTGGGGACCCAAAGCCTGGTCCCCACAGGTACGTATTCTGTTTTTTTGTTTTGTTTTGTTTTTGTAGGGGGGGTACCAAGGTATGGGTTGACTTCAGGCTAGGTTTAGGTTACGTTTTATAATGGGGTGGTTAGGTTTAAGGTAAAGTGTCAGTGTTAGGCTTCACAAATGACTGGAAAATAAACAGAAGTCAAAGCAAAGTTCCCATGTGGACAGAATAAACAATGTGTGTGTGTTGGGGGGGGGGGGGGGGGTATTGCAACGATTGACACTGATTGATAAAGACTGACAAAGTACTCCATTGAAAATGGAGAACATTCTAAATTAAACAAATTCTACTTCTCTGAAATACCTGAATAGTCGATTTCAGGAAATTAAGTCACTTTCCACACATTCTTTTTTCATCACTGAAAAGAAATCCTACAAAAAAATCAAGTTACATAATGCTCTCTTTCTATTTATTTCTATTTGCTAAAATCCCATTTATAACTGCAATTTTAGTAAACTATAGTTTGGTTGGAATTTAAAAATGTCTATATAGACAATGTCAATGAAGACAGCAATCCTGGGAATGAATAAACAAATGAATAAATAACACTTCAGTTTATATGTATACTATGTTTGTACAACTAAAGCTGAAAATACAGCAAAAACTTAAAGTCAGACCAGATGCAGAAATAGTCTTAAATGTACCTATAAACTTTGTCCAAGCTGAGCCTTTATAGTCATTTATCTACACTGATTTGCTAAAACCTGACAACTTCGTAAAACAACATTTGATCAGGCACATAATCCCAAGAGTTCACCACAGAATTAAAGAACAACTGGTCTTTGTACAAATCAGTCAATGCTAATAAAAAACAACATTTACAAGCAGAGATGTAAAACTCTGTATCAGCCCTGTAATTATACCATTTGTGATGTAAAAATGGACAGTAATGCGTCCTGAAGGACTGGATTTGCAAGAAACCTGTGTATCCATTTGACATAGAGCTTGGCCTCCACCTACTGGCAAATAATAAAATGATGGCCCTAAAGACAACCCAGAACTGAATTTGTTCTGTTTTTTTTTTTTTTTTTTTTTTTTTTAAACATATCAAAAGCTGTAGCAATAAGAAATAGTTTGATCAGTTAGATTTAGCTATTTTGGTAAATTTAGTTACAAAAAAGTATAACTTTGCTCAGATAAAAATCATCTTCGTACTCTAGTGGATTTCTTTGCAAACACGTCAATAATCTAGGTTCCATCTCTAATTCTCTGATTAAAAATATTTTGTAAAGTTTAGAAAAATTAAAATATAAGAGACTCAAGTCATTTTTGAAAGATGGTGCTGCTATTTTGAGCTTCTTTTGCATCTAGAAGAAAAAAGAATGAAATTGTAGGAAAAATTCTGTTTTGAAATTTGCCAAAACATTATTGTCTAATAGAGTGAGGCATGAAAATTTCAGGTTTTAATGCTGTGGCTGATAAGTACATTTACTTAACTAATTACTCAACCAACCACTTCTGATCTGTGACAAATTTCTTGAGTCTAGCTGTTGCACCATAAACAAGGTTTCCAGGCAGTTTGGCCATTAAACAAATTAAATTACCGACAAGACAGAGCCCTGCACAGAAGGCTAAGCCTACTGAATTATTCATTTTTTTTCCTCACGATTGCTATAAAGTAACGTTTCAATTGAAGAGTATGTCAAATTCAAATTAGAGACAGCAAAAGAGAAAAATGTATGAAATTATATTTGTCTGTCCAAGTGAATGCTAGATTCAGGTGCACTGTTCATGGTCTATGAAGAACAATTTTCTGATCTCAACATTTCACTCAGTTTTTTTTTTTTTTTCAATGTTTATACAGCTTTCTGGCCAAGGACACAGATTGTTGTTCTTACTCAGGACATTTTTTAAACATAAAACAAATAACAGAGAAGCCAAATGCCAAAAAAAACATTAAAGTCTGAAGTATCTATACATTTGCTCTAAACAAAACTAAAATATTTCTCTTTAATATAATAAACATTAATAATTTTAATGGTGCTAGTGGCTTCACAGTTAATTTTATCCTGCGGTTCACCTGGATGCCACTGTTAGCATCCAAGTAAAGAACTTCAACCGCTCAATGCTCACATTTATGAAGCATTCAATACAGGAACCAGACCCATAGCAAGCAATTGACTGGCTAATATCAAAATACAGTTTGGCACAAAAATATACAGAATAGAAGGAAAGAAAACAATAATAATAAAAAAACAATAAAAAGGGCAATGTGGAAGTTTTGAATGAAAAATAACCTGACATACAGCTAGGTTATGACTCGTCTTTAAAACAGGCCAAACACTGACCCCACAAAGTGATTATAGTCAACTTACAAAAACAGTCCYACTACACTTTATATTCCTGATAAACAGCTTGTGAGCTCAGGATTTTCCTCTTGTTCTGCCCAACTAGGCTTGAATGAGGAAGAGTTTGCAACACGTTACAAGCAACCATAACAACAACAGACGCTACGTACACCAACAAAATACAGTATACACAAACATACACACGTGGACAAAATTGTTGGTACCCCTCGTTTAGTGACAGAAAAACTCACAATGGTCACAGAAATAAATAGAATCTGACAAAAGTAAAAATAAATAAAAAATTCTATAAAAATGAACAAATGAAAGTCAGACATTGTTTTTCAGTCAAGCTTCAACAGAATTTATTTAACATAAAGCTCATGAAACTGGACTGAAATGATGGTACTCCTGAAAATAATGTGACCAAAGGGTCACGTTAAATTAAGGTGTAGGGTTGGGCGATATTGGCAAAAAAAATTAATCACGATTAATTGTGGTGTTTAGCCYATAACGATTAATATGACAATTAATCCCCTGGCGTCCCTGGACACCCTTATGTCCAAGTCACACGACCAATTTAGTGGGAAAGATTTGCTCTTCGTAAAAATCTTTTTCAAACTGTGTCAAAACCACAGACTTCAGGCTATACTTCAAATTTTAAATTGTGTTGATAAATAAATTACAGAACTTTTGTTTAAAATGTTCGTCATATTTGAAGCGGAGAGGAGCACCAAGCGGACTGACCGGGGAAATATCCAGTCAGTCTGCCTGGTGGCATTAATCGTATTAATCGTCAAGTGCTAAAAACTAATCGATTAATGTTTTTCTGACYATTAATTGCAGACAATACGATTARGCCCAACCCTATTAAGGTGTGTCCAATAATTAGCATCACAGGTGTCTACAATCTTGTGATCAGTAAGTGGGCCTGAATATAGGGCTACAGATATTCATTGTGCTGTTTGGTGACATGATGTGTACCACACTCAACATGAACCAGAGGAAGCAAAGGAAAGAGTTGTCTCAGGAGGTTAGAAAGAAAATTACAGACAAGCATGTTAAAGGTAAAGGTTATAAGACAAGTATGTTAAAGGTAAAGGTTATAAGACAAGCATGTTAAAGGTAAAGGTTATAAGTCCATCTCCAAGCAGCTTGATGTTCCTGTGACTATATTATTCAGAAATTTAAGATCCATGGGACTGTAGCCAACCTCCCTGGACGTGGTCACAGGAGGAAAATTGATGACAAATCAAAGAGATGATAATACAAATGGTAGCAAAAGAGTACAGAAAGACTTCTAAAGAGATTAAAGATGAATTTCAAGCTCAAGGAGCATCAGTGTTCTCAAGACTATCAAGGTATTCTAGAGAAAAAAATGTACTGCCCAGTGTGAGTAAACCTTCATCTCAGTCGCAGGTCATGGGTCTTGCAACGGGATAATGACACAAAAACACAGCTAAAAACACCCAAGAATGGCTAAGAGGAAAACATTGGTCTAATCTGAAGTGGACTTCTATGAACCTTGACCTAAATCCAATTGAGCATCTTTGGAAGGAGCTGAAACATGTCGTCTGGAAAAGGCACTCTTCAAATTTGAAACAACTAGAGCAGTTTGCTCATGAGGGATGGGCCAAAATACCTGCTGAGAGGTAAAAAATTCTCATTAACAGTTACAGGAATCATTTGACTGCAGTGATTGCCTCAAAAAGGTTGTGCAACAAAATTACAATTACAAAATTACTTTTGTCAGGTTCTAGTTATTTATGTGACCTTTGTGGGTTTTTCTTTCATTAAACAAGGGGTACCAACAATTTTGTCCAATGTATATTTCATGTTTTCAACAGATACTACAACTGGTCACGTATACAATCAAGAATACATACTAGAACATTTTAAAGCTTCATTTGGCTAATGTAAAGCTTTGAGATTCTGCAGTATATTAAATAGTAATGTGCTCAAAGTGGCTTCATTAGCATACAAATATGTCCAACTTGTGTGTGCAACTAAACTCCCACTTGCAAACAGTGTGCTTGTTTGAGTGTTACTCTCAATGTGATTCACATTTTCAGCCGTTTTAGTTTTTGGAATTAACAATAATACTAAAAAGACTTTTTTTAAGTATGCCCAAAATTATAGCAAACTGAACTGGTACTAGCTTGACCTCAAATACAAATCTGTGCACACTGATATTCAAAAGAAAATTGGTTTCAGTGTCTATAAATATACATTCACTCATGATTTGCAAACGTGAACATTTTTTGAAAAGATAGTATTTATATTGAATTAATAATAGCACATTGTACTTACTGTAGTACCCATAGAGCACGGTGGCTTCGATGTGATCTCGTGTTTCATTATTTGTTGCCCATTCCTGCAATACCCAAAAGAGTCAGTGTTAAGCTCAACTTTAAGGAAAAAACAAGAACATCAAGATGACTTAATCCAATTATACAGCCACTGGAAGTTCAAGCCACATTAAAAAGCTATGTGGGCTACAGTTGTGCTTGAACACAAAAGTAGCTGCTACTCAGAGGTTTAAACTCTTATCTCCATTGAGTTTTATGCAGCACACATAAGGAAAACTACCTAAAATTACTTTTTTATTTCTTCCTATTAACCCTATTAACATAAACAATGGCTTGAACACCATAAAATGTTAATTGCTGCAAAAGGTTTTGTTAGAGTTTTATTTTTTTTGCAACTGATCCTTCCTCATTGGTAATAATGTGCCTGCTTCTCTAGCTGCGTTTCCATTGCAAATGTACGCAAAACTTTGTCGATATTCTGTTAATGTCGAAAAAACACAGTTTCGCAACTGCGGTGTTTCTATTAGTAAGAAATGCTATTAAAGTGACACTTGTTCTCGCGATAAGTCATTACAAACATGGCGGAAATGGATGTAAACATACAGCATATTGCTGCCACGACACTAGTTTTGACAGTTTTTGACAGTAGTTTTGCGAAATACATCAATTTCGATACGGCCAAAAAAAAAACACCTTTCCTAGCGCAAAAACATTTGGTCGAAAAACTTTTTTTTTCGTAATTGACGTACTTCCATTGAGCAAATTTTTTTTTCGAAATTCTAATTTGCGCATTTTCATGGTGAATGGAAACGCAGCTACTGAAAAATAAATGCTTGTTTTTCAACAAATCACTGTTTCATTCAGTAAGTGAAGAACTTTGTTCCCGATGAGTTGACATAGATTGTACAAGATGGTCAAAACTAAATGTGTCAAACACATGAAAGGAGTTTGTCCTCAGAAAAAGAAGGTACTATTCCACATGTCCTGATGCATCTCAGTAATCCAGGTAAAAAAATCAAAAAGAAAAAATTGTATAGGTCTTCTGGACGGGTTCTTCTCTAATGAAACGTTTCGTCTCTCCTCCAAGAGACTTCTTCAGTCTGAGAGTTTCAGGCAAAATTCAGGCTTTTAAGTCCTGCCTCCATGTGACTGATACTCACATCACATGGCTATCGTTGACACCTAATTAACACCTATTGTTAACAGGGGGTGGAGTGATACTGGCAATAGCAGCACTGTAGGAGGGGGACAACTGAAAACGGAGGCCTCCACCTCTGTTTAATGATGGATGGTCTTTCTTCACAAAAATGGCTTCTTTTACTCCTCTCTCAAAACAACGTTCCTCTCTATCAAGAATGAGAACATCCTCATCTCTGAAAGAGTGACCGCTGGCCTGTAAATGAGTGAAAACCGCAGAGTTCTGGCCATTAGATGTAGCTCGTCTGTGTTGGGACGTTCTTTTGAACAGTGGCTGCTTTGTTTCCCCGATGTATAACTGGTCGCAGTCCTCCTGGCACTTAACAGCATATACATTGCTCTGTTTGTGCCGGGGCACCGGATCTTTGGGGTGAACCAGCCTTTGCCGTAATGTGTTTTGGGGTTTGAAAGCTACTGGGACATCATGTTTAGAAAATAAYCGTCTCAGTTTCTCCGAAACACCCGCAACATACGGAATAACCACTGGTTTGGGTCTGGGTTTGGGGTCTTCATTTTCACCTGAAGGTTGCATGGAATCCTGTCTGTGTTTCCTGTCTGCTTTCAGGAAAACCCAGTCAGGATAACCACACTGCTCCAGGGCCTGTCGTGTGTGTGATTTCTCTTTCTCCCTGGCTCCTGGGTTTGTAGGGACACTGTCTGCTCTGTGGTACAGAGTCCTGATGAAGTCCTGAAGAAGTCTCTTGGAGGAGAGATGAAACGTTTCATTAGAGAAGAACCCGTACAGAAGATCTATACAATTTTTTTCTTTTTGTACTATTCCACACTTTGCCTAATTTTGCATTAGATTATAATCAACAGAACAAACTTGACCAAACAGCTCAACCGTAAAGAACTGCTGGATTTGATAAAAACTGTCGAATAACAATGCCAAACATTTCCCAGACGGCGTACTTTAAATGATTCAAACTGTTTTTCCTGTAGTCGTGAGCAGAACAGATACCTTATAGGTGCCGTTGGGATACTTCATGTACGACACAAGGAATATGTCCACTGGTAGAAGTGCGGACGTTATCAAAGCAATGGCCAGCGCACATATTGCTGTGACAGTTGAAATAACTTCACTGTCCTGCCGACTTTGAAACTTCCGAATGTAGATCCAACAGAATGCCAGAATTACCTTAACAGAAAACAAGTAAAGAAATTAAAACAAATGATCAGTAAAAAAAATAAAACCAGTACACTGAGAAACAAAACAGTAAACTATTCTGCCAGCATAAATTGTGTCTAAAATACAACATTTTTATTAACGGTACAGAACTTTTGGTGTTGGATAAAGACGATTAGCTGTTGTGGCCATCTTGATTTGGGTTGACTCCAAAAGTTAATCAGTTGTTGATGTGCTAATTACAAGTTTTGCTGTTAAAAATTTCTAAATGTTACAGCAAATGACTGATTCACACGAGTTCACCTGGAACTCTTCAGGAAAAGGCGTCAAGAATAACAAGGTCATATTCCAGACACACAAGCTGCAAGAACACTGCAAACAAGTGTGCAGCAGCAGATCCAGGTCTGCCACTCACAGACCAGATTAATCAATTAAAGAGCCGCAGCTTTAAGCCTCTGGCTGCTTGTTTTGTCAGGGAAAGACGCCGGCTTTGCATCCAAATAAGATCTAAAAGGGTTGTTCAAATAGAAGTGTGGGCAAAGAAACAAAGCAATTTGTTGGCATGCAGACCGGTTTTTTTTTCCTATTCTTCCCAATTTAACCTGCCATGTGACTGTGAATGGCAGCTAAGAGATAATGAGGGCTAAATTTGGCCGCAGATTACTTTGGTGCACAAATTTAAAAGCATTTCGTTAAGAAGCCAGGTGCCGAGGTCAGTCTAGATGAGGCTGAAATGTGAGAGAGAAAAAAATATATGCTTTTATTGGCGGGGAAAAAAGGACTGTAAGCTTTTTCCCAGCAGTAATAAAATATTTATGCGGAAATGCATATTTTTAAACAAAGTGTTGACAGCTAAATGGCAACGTTGCGTTCACTTAAGTGGGAACATCCGGCCATTTTCATGAAGTAGCGGTGTTTTATTCCGATAAGATAAAATAAAAACGTGTACCAAACACAGGAATGCAGGCATGCCACAATCCTTTAAGTGTGTCGAGGCTAAAGTTAGATAAAAACAGAGCCCAGCCACGGTAATGCCCCGGACATGTTGCGACGGATTATGTCAAATATAAACGACTTCACCGGCTGAAAGCACCTCATGAAGGAGTTACCTGCCGCTGCTCGGCTTTAGGAAACGAAACGCATATGTTTTCAAGTGCCTACCAGAAGAATAAGAGTGAAAATCGACCATCCGATGACAGATTCGGACAGCAAGGACTGCACCGCCATCTTTACTTCCTGTAATAACAAACCCACGTGATCGTGTTGACGTAACCGCGTCCTGCTACGTTCTTGCAGAAACACTAGAGTTGCGTCTCTAAATAAGGTAAGTGTGTTTTAAAGCACTTCAGAAGCTTTTTGTATAATTTCTCAAATTCTGTCTCATTTACGTTCTGTAAACAAAATACTTAAACAGCTCTAGGCCCTTTAAAAAAAAAAAAAAGCAAGTTTCCAGTAAATTCTAGACTGGATCTTAAACCTCATTTTAAAACTGTGGAATCATAATCTATCAGTGGTGGGCACAGTTCCCCTAAAGCACTAAAGCACTAATAGGGGAACTAATTTCTTGATTAGTGCTTTAGGGCTTTTGCTATTTTTAAAAATTCATTAGTGGATTAGCATTTGCTAAATTTAAAAGCACTACCTCAGGTCTTTAAATGTTATTAATCAACATTATTGTAACAGCTGAGGGTGAAGGCTGTCACATATTTTGTTCATATGTGTCACTTATGTACAAGTCACATGTGTCAAACTTAAGGCCCACGGGCCAAATGTGGCCTGTGGGTGACTCCCATTTGGCCCGCCAAGAGCACTGAGTGACAACATACTGCACACAGTAAATATTGTCTCTTAGAACCCATAGTTCTACAACAGGGCATACAAAATTCATAAAAAAAACTTCCTGGTTGGACTCATCACTGTACAGTTCTTTCATTGTCTGATGCCTTGACTTTTCAGAATTATGTTTTGTATGGTGGTATTAATTTATATTTTCAGATCTTCCAAGG